CAACCCAGATACCCCCAGGGTGGCACTGATGACATACACTCTGCCGCGTCCACGATGGAATGCCACACAGCCACACAAAGGAGCAAGGCAGAGTCCCGTGTTCCTAATGTCACCCTCAGAGAAAACTGTCACATGAAAACCACAAGATGCAGAGGGTGCCTCTTGTATAAGAAAAGTGGGGTGTGGGCCCCAGTTGATGCCTCTCTTTGCTATTGGGTTTAAAGGGGGCTCCATAACTTATTCTCATGGCCTGTGAAAATAATCTCTAACAGTGGATTTATTAAAACAGAAGGCCCTTTCAGAAACAACTCACCCACAGGAAATCGATGTGTCTCCACGGGGCCCGTGCCACCTTGTGGACGTGGACCCTCCTTCATGGGCCAGGAGCTCAGCTCCCCTGAGGAAGTTTCTCCATCTGAGGACAGGGAGCCTGGTGCCTCTCTTGCAAGGAAGCGTGAGGTCAAAGGGACACGTGGGGGTGGGAGGATGGTGCTAACACGGCTCTGAGTCTCATCTGTGCTCAAGTTTCCACTGGTAACCTTCAAAGGAATTACGTTAGATGTTGCAATTGATGACAACGTCCTGTCCCGGATCCCGGTGTGTCCTGCTATCTGAAATGACCCGTGGCCCTAAGTTCCTTTCTCACAGAAGGAGCCTGGCACCTGCACGGTGACCCCAGACTTCCCAAGAACCCCAGAGGTGACCGTTCCACCCACACAGCTGCCTCCTCTCCACTCACTTGCAAGAGCTGGGACGGGAGAAGCCACCTTCTCGCAAACCTTCTATATATTCCACGTGGGTGTCGTGACTCGCAGTTCCCCAGGCGCCTGCGTGGGCTCACCCATCACGGGCTTCCTTGGGGAACAAGGACCCTGTGGAAATTAGGAGAACTCCAGGCCCGGCTGCTCCAGAGTTGAGTCTCATGCTCTGTCCTCCAAGCACCCAAACGTGGTTAGGCTTTGATTCCAAGCCAAACTTTTAATAAAGAAAATTCATCTACAGATGTTCTGCCATCAGCCAATATATTCAGCTATTGGAATCTGGGAGATTTAGTGGCAGGCTGGCTGTTTTATTTGCTCGCAGGTGGGACCATTTTTCTTGCGTATTTAATATCCTGGAGGAATATTTTCCCTCGCAAATACTCCATCTGAGACAGTAAATCCATTCCGGACCCATCAGGCCACTATTTTGTCTTCTGGTGACTCGGAACAGGTACTTGTACATTCGTTTTTCCCTCTGTCATTAGGGAAAATGACGAAGTCACCGGCCCATAATTGCAGCTGTAATGATAAGACAGTCCCGCTGGTTGCACTGGGACAGGGGCCTGTCACATCTGTCACGTCGGGAGTAGTCGATGGCCTCTTGGACTGTGACTGAAACCCGGGCTTTTCTAAGAATTGCCTGCTGCCGTCTCTCACAGGGAGGACGCTGCATGCCGTCTCCGTCCAAGATAATTTGTGAACATAAAAGCATGGAAATGCACCTCACTTCTGTACATTTTAATTGCGGGCTGGTCCCACGGTGGTTCGAGGGGACACTTCGCGCTAATGAGGCTCTGAGCGAGGAAGAGGCATCCCCTCCCTCTCCCCTCCTCAATGCCGCTGTCGCCAGCTCCTTGATGTCATGGTTGCCCACAGTGATTAGGAAGCAAGGATCTTTTTGGATTTTTGGTCTTGGGCTTGGTGGATCCCAAAGCACATGTGGGTGCAAGAGAGTCCCAGACACTGGGGAGCAGGGCAGATGAGAGAAGGGTGACGCGGGGAGCCCTTAAAGGAACAAAGGAAGATGCCATGGCTTCTCCTTGCAGATGGGGAATGAGAAGCTGCCGGAAGGCGAGGACCTTTTGTCATTTGAGATGGGGAAGGGGAGGAAGGACGGTGGGGAGGGCACAGCGGAAGGCACCAGAGGGGCTCCAGAGCAGTGTGTCTGGGTGGGCAGAGCAGGGGGTGGGCAGATGGGACGGGCCAAGGTGCGATGGGGTTGAGAGATGGCCTGTGCCAGGCAAGAGGCGGCACTGTCTCCCTGCCGTGGAGCCCAGGAGCCGGGGGCTGGCATGAGACAGAGGCATGGCCCCGGCCTGGTGGGGAAGTGGCCCCAACACTGAGTCAGAACAATCACTAACACGTTTCCACGGCCCCCCTGCCCCTCCCACGGTGGTTTAGGGCCCATCATCTTTTCCATGGGTGGGGCAGCCGCCCACGGTCCAAGGAAATGCCCACCCTCCCGGTAGGTGGGACGCAGCCGGCAGCCTTCCTTCTTTAGTTGTGATCCTTGACCAGAGGGGGTGTGTGTGGGGGGAGCCAGGGAGCCTCTGACCTATTTTTCATTCCACATTTCCCCATCTATTGGCCAGGTCCAATCACAAGGTGCCTACTGTGACCAAGCCTAGTATAGTCCCCACCCCCCCAGCTGCCCCTTTCCCTGATTGGCTCCAGCCACCGAGTGGGCACGGGGACCGTCGTAGGTTCTTGGGCTTTCTCAGTCCCCGTGAGCGCGGAGCACTGTGAACGTCAGCTACGCCCCCACCCAAGTGCCGCCAACAATCCCCCGCCTGGGTTCTGGCCCAGCTGTCTCTCCAGGATGAATGACGGAAACTCAGGAAGACTGGTTTTGGAAACGTGTCAGCTCGTTTGCTCACTGGTTTGCGGGCAGTGCCAGCTGGGCCAGGCTCACGGGGCTGCTGGCATCCCAGGGCAGAGGGGCGGGGAGGCCACAGCACACCTTGGACCTCTAAGCCCGGGTCCCAAACACAGTCTGGTGAAAGGAGCTATGTTCCTTTCTGACCGGCACGAAGCCCAGGGCACTCCAGATGGGCTCGGGACACTGGACGTGGCCTGTCTTCAGGAACCTCAGGACCTGCTCCGAGCCAGGGCCCGACATCGGCATGGCCGATGGTGGCCTAGGCTCCTGGGATGTCCTAAGGTCTCTGTCCCCAAGGCCTGGGGACCCAGACCCCAGAGGGGGCCCGACGCTCCCCTCCTGGACCCACCACAGTCCCTGGTGGGCAAACTGGCCGCTGCGGGCCTGGGGTTCCCTTCATCCGCCCTTCAGCAGGGTCTCTGCCAGTGCCCCCTGCCACATCCAAAGTAAGTGCAGGTCCCAGACGCCTTCCAGCTGAGACCTAGGGGGGAGCCTGACAGGTGGAGGTGGCAGGGGTGGGGTCGGAGTGGGGTTCCCAGGGGTGGAGGCTTCATTCTGATTCACCCAAAGGGGGAGGGCAACTCCAAGATGACCTCCAGGCTCCAACTTTTGGGGGATGGGTGTTCAGACACCCCAAGGGAACGTGTCCGCTGCCAACTCCCTAAAGCAGGGGCCTCCCCTCCCCTTCTGAGGGGACACTCACCCTCGACTAGGTCTTCGAGGACCTGGAAGAATTCATCATTTAAAAAAACCCCTCAGAAATGACAAGGGAAACACAGACATCTCCTAATATGTTTATTGTTCCTTAGATAGCTGGAGAGTACAAAGTTCCTCTCTTTTTTACTTAAAAAATGTTCTTTCGGCACGATGCCCGCGGGAACACTCCTCTCCCGTCGGAAACCGAAGTCTCCCCCGACGAGCCCTTCTCATCTGTGGCTACAAGGTCTAGATCATTGGACTAGAGGAGAACAGTCCCTTGGATTCTCACGAACTCGGTTATCTCTCTATAAGGGTGAACACTGATTACTATTTTTCTTTTTAGCGACAAGAACCATCCATTTACTGATCCAAACTACGGCATTGCATGACAACATCCACTGCATAAACCGACGCACAGAGTTACCACCTCAAGGAAACAAGACACACGCTGCACAATACACTACGGGCAGGCGTGTGCGCGCGGCGGGCACCGCCACCGGCCG